TTTTGTGACATTATAGAAATTTTCTTCTATTTCTCTTGAAGATTCAATAATCTTACACCAAAAATGAAGATTAATTCATGGAATATAATTACAAGGGAGTTAAGAACACTTGTCCCAAGTTGTGTGGAAAATTTCCTCTCCAAAATCGCCCAACCCGAGCTCCAAAATCCAAAAAATGGGTGAAAATGTCGAACCCGTGAATTTAAGGTTCTGCCCCAGCGATTTCCGCATCTGCGGACAAGATTTGCGCACCTGCGCATCCGCTTATGCGAGCAAAACATCGCATTTGCGGACTCCACTCGCCTGCCCAGTTTCCGCTTCTGCGCGCATCCGTCCGCATCTGCACTCACGTAGGTGCGGAATTTTCCCTCGCACCTGCGACCAATGCCTCACAACCCTCTGCCCGCATCTGCGCTTCTTCTCGCTCAGATGCGATTCTGCACCTGCGAAGCACCTTCTGCACCTGCGCATCTCGCTTCAGCGCACCTGTGCTCGCACTTGCGAGCTCATACCTGCGACTACTTTTCCGCAGGTGCAATTACACCAGAAGGCTTCAGTTCCAGTAGTCTTCCAAATTCAAAAATCAATTCGTTAACCATCTAAAACTTACCCGAGGCCCTGGGGTCCCCGTCTGATCATACCAACAAGTTCCATAACATAATACAGACCTACTCGAGGCCTCAAATCATACCTAACAACCTCAAAAATACGAACTACACACGGATTCAAGCCTAATAAATTTCCAAATTCTATAAACGATGCCAAAACCTATCAAATCACGTCCGATTAACCTCAAATTTTGCACACAAGTCACATTTCACACTACAGACCCATTCAAATTTCCAGAATCGGATTCCGATCCCGATATCAAAAAGTCAAACTCCCGGTCAAACTTCCCAAAAATTCAACTTTCGACAATTCAAGCCAAATTCTACTACAGACCTCCAAATAATTTTCCGGACATGCTCCTAAGTCCAAAATAACCATACGGAGCTATTGGAACTATCAAAATTTGAATCCGAGGTCGTTTACACATAAGTCCGCATCCGGTCACTATTTTAACTTAAGCTTTAAACCTTGAAACTAAGTGTTCCAATTCCTTCCAAAACCTCACTGAACCCAAACCAATTATTCCGGTAATTCACACGACAACTGTAAAGTATAATTTGAGAAGTAAATGGAGAAACGGGGTTGTAATACTCAAAACGACTGGCCGGGTCGTTACAGTCGTTTATGTTTATTACAAATGATCTACAATTTTATTAAGTTGTACACATTTTGTAGTTACAGAGAAGAAAATAATGCATGTGGACTCTCCAAAACAGGATGAAAAACTTGGCATACAAGGAGAGCATTTAAATGAGAAGAAGGAGACTATGCCTTTGCAATCTCCCATTCAACAAGCAAACGATATACAACAAGTGGACGATTGCAATGAAGATTTCACTGGTATTATATGTTACAATATAATTGTAGGAAAAAAACAATAACTTTTATATAAGTTTTATTTTCCCAAAAGAACGATTGCAACCAACATACAACGTTGTTCTTTTATTTTAAATATTGTAGGTGAACCAGCCGACTACATTAATGTAGGTGATTCGGACAATGACTCTAGGTCTGGAAAAAGGACAGTAACGCTGGATGATTTTGAGCTTCCAGAGATTTTCTCACATATTGTTAAGTTTGGAGAGGTAAATGAAGATGAAACAACCCCTGTGCATCAGGGAAGAACAAGGGTTCCTGGAAAGCATGCCAGATCCCCCTTTCTCCCTTATTTCAGTTCTGGGGGAAGCACTTCTGTTGGACCTCCTACAATTTTCAACATCAAGTATCCATTTATTGGGGTTATTGGTGACGATTTTGATCCTGACTTGTTGGAAGAATTCAATAAGTGGTTATATTTAGGTACCTACAAGATTTCAAAGATGTTAGATTATATAATTTTTTCATATTATCGAGTGCATACAATTTATGAATTTCAAACTGAAACAACATAATAATTGTACTTGCTATGTCTTTAAATAGGAGGAAGGCGCCTTATACTTTAAAATATAACCAGCTCAACCCGTGGTTTGATCTTGAAGTGGAGAAAGTTGATAAAAGGGACTGGTTTCATACTTTGGCACATCCCGGGCAAGTACTCAACAACACAGTACACACATACCCTGGCAGAATTTAATGATTAGCTGTAGTATTCTGTTATTTTAGAAATATGTAAATTTTTTGTTTGAAAATTGTAGTTAAATTATATGAAGCATTGACAAATAAAAAAAAAATTGCAGCACATTGATGTTATTTTATACTATTTGAGGAAGAGAGGAAAGTATGGTCCTGAAAATACGGTTTACAACCACTGACTGTATGTTCAAGACTAGAATTGAACAAATTTATGAGAGGTACATTAATTCTCCTGCCGATAAGAAGCTTGTTGTTGTCAAACCCCAGGACGTCGTAGAAAAATACATATTGGGGTACCGATTACCTGCAAATGTTGCATGGGACAAATTTGATTTTATGATTATGCCCATAAACATTGTGGAGAAATATCATTGGTTGTTGGCTGTGTTTGACATCACTGATAGGGTTCTATATGTTTATTATTCTATGGTCTCTTTACGAAATCACAAACTTGTTGAATCTGTTGTCGACAAGTTTGCTATTATGATCCCCCTCTACTTGTCATACACCGGCTTCTATGGCAAGCGTCCAGACATCAACTACAAGAACACAAAGGCATACATTGAAAAAGGTATTACTGACCCTCTTGACATTCAGTGGTTGGTCGGTGAGATACCCTAGCAAAAAGAAGGATCACTGTATGTGCTACTTTCCTTCTATCTATTTAACTAATTGTATTTTACACTAAATGCTAAAACTTTTCCCCTATTATTTTTTGCAGTGACAGTGGTGTATACGTGGCGGCATTTGCAGAATATGTCAGCATTGGAGAGCTATCGATTTCATAGGAAGACCTTTCTGATATTGATCAACACCATCAAAGCTATGGAGCGCTTCTTTAGAATTATGCTAGGAAAAAGCAAGAGCTTGGTGTAATTAGTGAAAGTGAGGTGACTAGAAGATTAGCAAGAAGAAAAGGTGCACCAGCTGTGAACGAGAGAACACAAGTCCAGAAAAAGAGGAATTAGTTGCCCTTTTTAGTAGAAAAATGGTAGTTAAAGTGTTTAGATGTAGTTGGATTGTAGTAAAGTTGTAAACAAATTATTTATTAAGAAGGAGTCAGTTGCAAATTATTTGCAGCAGATTTGTGCTACAATTGTTTTACTTTTTATGTTGTTATTTTGTCCAGAATTCTACTACATATAATAGAAAATATATGTGGCTTTTTCTTTGGTTGAAAGTTGTTAGTACTTGATCTCGATATTGGTACTATATAATTTCTTTATATACAATTATTTCTACAACTACTATACAAAAATACATAATCTATTCAATTTAGCAGTGTTGTTAGAAAATGCTGAAAGTAATAAATAAACCCAGTATTTGAACAAAACAACTACAAATCAATTGCATTAAGAGTTAAAATCTGTTTAGCAAACATTCATTATATGAGACAATGTATATTCAAATTAGCAATACATTTACACCACAACTATAATTCTCCAGAACAGAACAAATACAACTTCATATGTCTTAAAGGACAAATTATCATCAACAGTATTAATTTTTTTTTTTTGGGAGTATTCCTNCAGTAATTAGTAAAAAAAAAATTAAACTGTATCAATTGTTATTTCCTATTAGGAGCATTCCTACAAGATCTTTTGTTATGCCCTTCTACTCCACAGTTGCCACATGAAACCTTGTACTTTTTTTGCATTTACTTCATCATATAGTTTGTATCTTTATTTTTGAGGTCTCCCTGGCTGCCTTTTTCCTGTAGGTGGCTTTACAACTTCTTCAGCTATATATTGTGGCACATTTTATTTGCTTTCGTCAGGCAGCGGGTCTACTGGTATTTCATAAGTCTGCAGAAGGCTCTCCCTCGTGTAATAAGGAAAATAATAGTTTTTATAAGACTCGTTCCTGTGCCTCAAAGCCGCCAAAGCATGTGCACAAGGAAGTTCATCAAGCTGAAATTGTCCACAACTACATCTCTTATTTTGAAGGCAAATAATGAAGCGCTTCACACCATCTATCACAGTATAGGTGTAATCTATTGAAGCCCTCACCTACAATTTCATTACAAACACACAACAAGTTGTCAGCAACAGATACAAAATAAAATAACTACAATTATACAACAACCTTTCTACAATTATCCAATATATATTTAGTTTGACGGAATCAATGATCTGATGTTGTTGCCTATAGCTTACTCTCATCTTCTGCGATAATGTCCTGTTGTCCTCCAACTCTTTGTTGTATTTTTTCCCAAAGTATGTGAACGTACCCTTTGCATTCAATAACTTTTTATTAGTCCAACTTTCAAGAAGAGTCCTCATGTACTCTGATAGTTCTACTACTGGCAGATCTCTTGCATCTTTGGTTACCGCATTCAATGATTCTGCAATATTTGATGTCATCGTTCACGTTCTGTTCACTGTAGCATGTACTCGAGACCATCTGTGATAGCCAATATCGTATAGGTATGCTTTAACAATTGTGTCGATCTCTTCAATCTTTGACATTCTTTCATTAAATAAATCAAGCGTGTATGATCGTGACATGGCAAAGTACAATTCACTTAACTTTAGATGACCCTTCTTGAATTTTGACCTTACATTTATCCAAATATGCCACACGCAAGCATAATGTGGCATGCCGATATAGACAGTAGATGTTGCCTTCAAGATACTTTCATTTCGGTCCGAAACAACACACATATTTGGGTTTTCACCATATGCATGTTTGAATTGCTCAAAAAATCACCTCCATGATGCGTCATCTTCTGAATCAACAACGGTGTATGCTAGTGGTAGTATGCTACCTATCATACAAGTGGCAAAAAAAATTTAATTTCTGTAATAAAACTTGAGAATATAAAAAATACAGTCTCAAAAACAACTTTATAACAATATTTTTACAATTAATCTACATTACCTGCTGCATCCATTGTGCTAGCTATTAGCATGATTCTCCTATATGCCGACTTCAAGAAGGTGCCATCAACTACTACAACTGGCCTACAATGCTCCCAACTCCTGATGGACGTACTAAGTGCAATAAATGAATACAAGAAACAGTCATCTTCAGTCTTCTGCAATTTTACTACCGACCCAGGATAAGTCTTCTCCAGAATATACAAATAACTCGGCAAACGACTGTAGGAATCAGCAGGATGACCTCTCAAAAATTCCAAAGCCTTATCCTTTGCTCTCCAAGCTTGCATGTATTTTAAGTTCACACCATGATCCGACAACATGTCAGTTTGTATGTTTTTTGGTGTGTATATTGTCTTAGGATCCGCATATTTTGGCATCACCATACTGCCAACTACCATGGCAGTAGGTTTGCGTTGTATGTCTGTATTGTCCATCAAAGAGCATGTGTGTAATCTGTTGAATTTTCGAACCTTGAACAATGCTGATTCATTTATGCTGGTGGACTTGAAGTGCCACGTACAATTGTCACCAACACATACGAGGCAGTAGCTACAGAATAAAAATAATTCAAAAAATGTTATGGAAATTATACTTGCAAAATATGAGGTTGTTTATACACAAAAACTTATCTTAAATAATTTATATACAAAAAAATTATAACTTATACACAATATGAATTTGACAAATAAAATATTCCTACCTTCTTGCACTAGACCTTTTCACCCTAAATTGAAACTTATTCATGATAGAATAGTGCTTCATTGCACTGACAATTATTTGCTTGTCTTGGTAAACTTGGCCTACTTCAATTACATTTGGCGTATGTTCTGTTATGATGATACTTTCATATTCCACAATTGGCGGAGATGTTTGCATATCAATCAACTTCACTGTTCTTGAAACTTTTTCAATTGTGTAACAATTGCTTGACAATTGTACCATGTTAGTGTTACGATAATCAGAAGAACCAGCACTCAATTAATAATATAGCAATTCAGACCTCTGTATATTAATGTGTTCAGTATTTGACAGAATGCTGGTAGACATAACAGTTGAACTACATTTGTTATGTAGTAAAATTATAGATAATATGTAGAAAAATTGTAAAACAATTGAAATTGAAAAAATATCAGCACTGGAAAAACAAAGCAAACCTACAATTATGCTCGCATTCGACATACTGCATTCCAAATCGAAATCACGCAATGTTATACACAGCGGATACATTCCTAAGTTTTTGTTTTCCTTTTTCGTCTCCATATACACTCGAACTCCCATATCGCTCTGAATTTCCATTGGAGGACAATGTTCATTGAGAGTGTATTTGATTTCGATGAATTTTGCGGAGGTATCGATCATTAAATGCTCTGTAACTGCGGAATTCAATTGACTATAATTTAAATCGTCATTGACTTCAATTCCTTCAACATCAAAATCTTTGTATCTCCCAACGCTATCCCACCACCCATTGAGCTGAAGCATAATCACTAATTTTGACATTATGTCGCTAAATTCAATTCAATTGTAACTAATTGTTTACAATTGTTTTGTTCAAAACCTTTGTTTATGGAAAAATAGAGAAAACCAAAGAATAGAAGGATGCGATGATAACCAGTGAAAATCTGCGTAATAGAAGGATTCTACGAATATGTTGCCTTCATAATTGGTGCGAGGATTGCGCCAGTAAAATCTCCAAGCGATCCAAAAAATCTCGCGTCTAAATAAGGAAGACTATCGCAGAAAGGATTCTAGTTTAAACAAATGTATATATTTTGTAGCTAAATCGTATTTAGGTCGGGTAAATTCAAAAACATGGATATTTTTCATAACAAGGTTTCAAATAGTGTATAGGAACGAAAAAATCTCTTATCTAACTTTTGAGGAAAATAATTTTCGTGAAAATAATTTTTCAAGAAAACTTTTTCCATCAAAATAACCTCCATATATACATCATGCCAAACACAGAGTTATAGTTAGATTTTCAGGGTGTGGAGAAAAGTTACGCAAATTGCATATACATTTGAAACCAAGCATGGCCTTCAGATTTGGCACTCAGGATGAAATCCTTAGTAAAAAAACGATCAATTGATAATCTAATCCTTGAGATGATAATTTTTAAAAAACATATTCTCCATAAGTAGAGATAAAATTAAAACCCTCTCTCAACTCCCTCTTCCCCTTCCCTTTACTTAGCCACTAGTAAATAAAAGAAATAAAAAGCATTAACTATAACATCAAATTTAATGAAAATCTTAGATAGCAACTTGCAGCTTCTTAAATGGAAGCATAGTTCTAATATGTGCTTCTGCCTCAATTTCCAAGCAAGGTTTTAAAACCAGTTCATTCCATGCATCATCAGCTTCTTTTCTAGATTTTTTGTGCACATTGGTCGCATCAATTTGGTGAATTGGCCACATTTTCTCGTTCCTCAGACGTCGAATTTTCTCAAGTTGGCAACACACTAATTTGCACGTATTAAGCTTAATTTCTTCAATGGCAGATTCAAGGAGTATCTGCTTAGCTGCTTCGTTAATATTTGATTTGTTTTCCTCTCTTAAATACATGTCCATCTCTGGAACACCAATGGATCGTCGGATTCCTTTGGTATAATCTGCCTCAGGAACAAATATTCCTCGTACCTCATCCACTAACCCTGCACCATAATTAATTCAAGACTCTTAAAAACAGAAAAATTAGAAGAAACTAAAATTAATGCATAATTAACCATCGCATTAGTACGTTTATACAATGATTGTGCACGTTCCATGCTTTCATATAGTCAGACGAAAAGGAAAAACTTAATTTAGAACGTCTCTAATTATATCAGAGTTTAGATAATAACAATTTTTTCATTTTGTCATGTCAAATCTCTTAAATGACAACTATTTATAATTTATGATAAACGGCACTATAAAAAAAATGGAATTAACTACGAACTTTTTCGCTAATTTGTCACTAATTCGTCTCTAAATAGGATTAGCGATAGATTTTTCTGTTTAACTACGGAATTTGCCCGTCCCTAATTCTTGTGTTTTTAGTAGTACCTAATACAACAGGTAAAAGTCATGTGTTAATGATCTCCAAAATGAACCTCATATATATAAAAAACGAAGAGAATTAAAAACAGAACTGCATGGACCATGTGATCAACCCTTTTAGAAACAGAAGAGTGTAAAACAGGCAAGGCAACATCAACCCAAATGAAGCAACAATTGTACTTTGATTTAAACTTGCACACAGGATTCTCCACAAGTGCCTCAATGTAAGTATTAGATCCTCCAACAATTATTGGAATATGGCCAGAATTCAACACATATTCTATGTGGTAAACAACTTGATAACAGAAATCCTCAGCCGTGAAGTCAGCTTCCGGATCAATTTCACCTAGCAAATAATATATAAAATTAAAGTTAAATTAATATTGATCGTTTCGTGTAAATACCGAGGTGCAGATAAGTATTTACCTAGCAAATGGTGCGGTATGCCTTGTTTCTCAAGGTCTGTAATTTTGTTTGTAACAATGTCAAGTCCCTTATACACTTGCATTTTGTCAGAGTTGATGATTTCTCCTGGAAAATGAGTGGCGACGTCAACTGAGAGACGAGATTTTCCAGTTCCAGTAGCTCCCATTATAAACACCACTTTCTTCTTGCTCAACCCGTTGTTAATGAAGGTGTTCATACTTCTACAATTAAAATAAGTGCAAAATATAGATGTTAGATTAAAACATTAGATAATCTAATTAAAACTAGTCATGCACGGTAACAGATTCAAAATTTAAATACCATTAGTTCTAAGTTAGAATACGAATTGTGAAAAAAGTATATATTTAATTAAATATAACTATATATATATCTGCCACTGTTCATGAGGCCACTTCAAATAAAGTGAAGCATAATATAATTAGTAGTACTATAATTTTTCTTGCATAAATAAAGAGAATACTATGGCCATGAAAAAAATGACACATATAGTAGGACACTACATATTTACTGCATCAAAGTAAATAAACAATTGGTTTCACATAGAAAGAGAATTAATATATCTATTATCAAACACTATATAAGAGGTAGAAACCTTGTGAAAATGCTAGTAGTAGTTTATGTTGATTGTGTATCTTGGTGAAGCAAGATATATACTATGTTAATATATTTTGCTTGAATGTGGTTGAGGAAATAAATTATATTCAGCTTTTTATACTAAGATGTGGGTGTGGACTAATTAATGCTTGACACATATTATTTTAGAATTTTCTAGATTTGAAGATTATTCCTTGAAAATGTGATGGTCATAACATGATATTCTCCACTCTAATCCTTATCTAGAATATGAAATCTGAGTGACATTAATGACCTTTCCTTTTTTTCTTGCTCCTAGATTTATCTCCTAATTTGCTGTTTTAGTTATGTGAGAAAGGGGTATGTAATTTAATTCACTCCCTTCGATTTTTATGACACTATCACCCTAAATACCCAAATATTTAACAACGACATTAGAAGTCGGCATTTAGGTGCAAGGCATTTGTTTAATATTTTTGAAATAATTTTCAGTTTGACAGTCTTTTCTAAAATTTTGAACCAAAAGCAAGCTAGTCTCTCACTCTCTTCTATTCCCATTTTCACGTTTTCTGACGTTGAGAATAAAATTTATCTATCTGAAAGACGGCAGGTCAACCACTATCGATACAGATATAATTCTACATCATGCATGAATATTCTCGTGACTAAGAGGATACATATGACTATATGAGATTAAATCTATAGTGAAAACTCATGCTTTTAGTGTCCTTTTACATTTATATATTACCAATGGAGTACACAAGATTTTTAGCGAGCGATATCGATATTTTAAGAAGCGAACAAATCAATCACTGAAACGATATATACTAAAATAAACACAATTCAATTGCATTACTGCAACTATCTTTGGCGAGCTAACTTTCATTTTTTTGAAATATATACTTGATAGTCTCTTCATAAATAGTACTCCGTCTGACCTAATTTGTATGAAGGAATTCGGAGTATAAGAGTCAAAGAACTTAATTCTCGAAGTAAATTGTCGCATAGATTATTCAAGTATATTAAATTAAATTTTACATATACCTTATCAACATTGTTTCGGACACAACTCGTATATTTTAAAATCACCGTTACTCTAACATCTTTCCCCTTGGTCATGAACCTCCTTTGAATTTTTTATTTACTCACTCTCCTATTTTCGATTCAAAATGAAGAAAGGATAAAATAGAAGTTACTAACTTGAAATCCAATTCTAAAAATCAAAGATTAAAATCAAGAAAATAATGTAATGAGATAAGTATTTCTTCCATCATAACATAAGTATCCAGTTATTATCGGCTCAAAGACTCGCTATTTGATCTTTGCAATGCTTAATTACATAAAAAACACTATGAGTTAACATAATTAAATATTCAAATTATTTAAAAAGAGATTGACAAAACCGTAATTAATGAAAAAACTATTTAAACTCCCTAAAGAGTTCCACATACACATAAAACAGGACGGAGGAAATACCTTTTTTCTTCTATATAAGACACAAAATAACCATTCAGTTTCATAGAGATAAAACTTAAACCATTTTATATAATTTAACCCACAAAGAAAATAATAGAATCATCATGAAACCAGCTAGAAAGAAGAAAAATAAGGGGGAAAAAATACCAAGAGAACTTAGAAATTCCTGGAAATTGCAAATTGCAGAGAAAGAGCAATCTTTTCAGAGTTACGTTTTATGTTTGATGACATAGATATTGCAAATTGCAGAGAAACCTAAATTTTCATAATTAGAATTTTAAGTTTGATGAAATAATTCACAATTTCAGAAGAAAACTGTTTATTGTCGTATTGAATTAGTTTTCCTTGTCAGGTAAGACGACATCTATTTTTATGGTAGAAAAAGTTATAGAAATTTACAACACACACAAGCCAGGTACGCATAATCGAACACGAGACCTCGCTTTGAAAGCGTTTGCATACAATGTTATTAATATTTATATATAGACATATTAATTAAACTTTTCAGGCGAAGACACCGCTTCAATCGAAGTGCATTCGCCCCCCGCCATATTTCATGTGGTTATTAGTTAGGCAAAATGGCCTCGTGGACCAGTTTATCATTCCGGTATAAGTATTAATAAATATCTTTGACCGTTAACTATGCTTATGTGGCTGAAGCATAGCTGACGTGGACAAAATGTCACGCTTATATGGCGCGTCCATATGTTGATTTTCATTTAAAAAACAGTTAAATCAAAAAAAATACAAAATAGAAGAATTCTTTTTTGAAAAAATCCTATCACGTCCTCCAACCCCTCTCCCCCTTCCAACTTTGTCCCCCATTATTTTCGTCTCACCTTCCCCCCCAATTCCCCCCTTTCTCTTGTTCGTCTTCTTTAATTTCGATTCTCACTTTCCTATTCTTCTTTCCTTCCATCCTCCCCATTTTCTCCTCCATTAATGAAGATAAAAAGATGGATCCCC